GTAAGTAATGTATTATCTAAAGAATCATTTTGTTTCTTTTAGTTTCTTAAACCCTCATCGATGGACCGAGTCATGTCAACGATAATTAACCAATGACTTGTCAACGACTCACCGAAAATCGTAACTTTAATAAACTCCCCGTCGATGCGAGTCTTTGGAGTTGTTGCCTTGCACTCGACAATGTACCAGATGTAACACTGACAATGTTCGCTCAGAGATGTACAAACAGACATGCTCACAATGTTCCTGCTAGAATAATAATATTGCGCCCACAAAATGCACCAGAGATGCAAAACAGACATGTTCATAATGTTCCGGCTCCAATACAGTGTGCTGACAATGTACGAGATGTACATGCTCGCGATGTTCCTGCTAGAATACACATGTGCCCAAAATGTACCAGATGTAAAACAGACATGCTCACAATGTTCCTGCTAGAATATACATGTGCTGACAATGTACCAGATGTAAATTATGCAGACAATGTTCCTCAGAATACACATGTGTGCTGACAATGAATGTAAAACAGACATGCTCCAATACTGCTAGAATATACATGTGCTGACAATGTACCAGATGTAAAACAGACATGCTCACAATGTTCCTGCTAGAATACACATGTGCTGACAATGTACCAGATGTAAAACAGACATGCTCACAATGTTCCTGCTAGAATAAAACAGACACACAATGTGCTGAAAAATGTACAATGAGATGTAAAACAGACATGCTCACAATGTTCCTGCTAGAATACATACATGTGCTGACAATGCTCACAATGTACTCGATGTAAAACAGACATGCTCACAATGTTCCCTGCTAGAATACACATGTGCTGACAATGTACCAGATGTAAAACAGACATGCTCACAATGTTCCTGCTAGCTAGAATACACATGTGCTGACAATGTACCAGATGTAAAACAGACATGCTCACAATGTTCCTGCTCAGAATACACATGTGCTGACAATGTACCAGATGTAAAACAGACATGCTCACAATGTTCCTGCTAGAATACACATGTGCTGACAAATGTACCAGATGTAAAACAGACATGCTCACAATGTTCCTGCTAGAATATACATGTACATGTGCTGACAATGTAATCTGCTACAATGATGTAAAACAGACATGCTCACAATGTTCCTGCTAGAATACACGTGCTGACAATGTAGCAGATGTAAAACAGACATGTCACAATGTCCTCTGCTAGAATATACATGTGCTGACAATGTACCAGATGTAAAACAGACATGCTCACAATGTTCCTGCTAGAATACACATGTGCTGACAATGTACCAGATGTAAAACAGACATGCTCACAATGTTCCTGCTAGAATACACATGTGCTGACAATGTAGCAGATGTAAAACAGACGTTCTCACAATGTTCCTGCTAGAATACACATGTGCTGACAATGTACCAGATGCAAAACAGACATGCTCACAATGTTCCTGCTAGAATACACATGTGCCCAAAATGTAAAACGAGATGTAAAACAGACATGCTCACAATGTTCCTGCTAGAATATACATGTGCCCCAAATGTGCCAGACGTAAAACAGACATGCTTACAATGTTCCTGCTAGAATACACATGTGCTGACAATGTACCAGATGTAAAACAGACATGCTCACAATGTTCCCAAGTGTAGAATATACATGTGCTTGCTCACAATGTAAGAATGTTACAGATGTAAAACAGACATGCTCACAATGTTCCTGACAATCTAGCAGATGTATAACATGTGCCCTGGCTAGACAATGTACCAGATGTAAAACAGACATGCCTCACAATGTTCCTGCTAGAAATATACATGTGCTGACAATGTAATCAGATGTAAAACAGACATGCTCACAATGTTCCTGCTAAGCAGAATATACATGTGCGCTGACAATGTACGAGATGTAAAACAGACATGCCTCACAATGTTCCTGCTAGAATATACATGTGCTGACAATGTACAGATGTAAAACAGACATGCTCACAATGTTCCTGCCCAATACACATGTGCTGACAATGTAGCAGATGTAAAACATGAACTCACAATGATGTGTGTGTCAAAGCAGACATGCCTCACAATGTTCCTGCTAGAATATACATGTGCCTGACAATGTAAAGTAGATGTAAAACAGACATGCTCACAATGTTCCTGCTAGAATACACATGTGCTGACAATGTAGCAGATGTAAAACAGACATGCTCACAATGTTCCCGCTAGAATACATGTGCTGATGTACCAAAAAATGTACCAGAATGCAAAACAGACGTTCTCACAATGTTCCTGCTAGAATATACATGTGCCCCAAAGCAGTGCCAGATGTTGTGCCAGATGTAAAACAAACAGACATGCTTACAATGTTCCTGCTCCAATATACATGTGCTGACAATGTACCCAGATGTAAAACAGACATGCTCACAATGTTCCTGCTAGAATATACATGTGCTGACAATGTACCCGATGTAAAACAGACATGCTCACAATGTTCCTGCTAGAATATACATGTGCTGACAATGTACGAGATGTAAAACAGACATGCTCACAATGTTCCTGCTAGAATACACACATGTGCTGACAATGTACCAGATGTAAAACAGACATGCTCACAATGTTCCTGCTCCAATACACATGTGCTGACAATGCACCAGATGTAAAACAGACATGCTCACAATGTTCCTGCTAGAGATATACATGTGCTGACAATGTAGCAGATGTAAAACAGACATGCTCACAATGTTCCTGCTAGAATATACATGTGCTGACAATGTAGCAGATGTAAAACAGACATGCTCACAATGTTCCTGCTAGAGTACACATGTGCTGACAATGTAGCAGATGTAAAACAGACATGCTCACAATGTTCCTGCTAGAATACACATGTGCTGACAATGTACCAGAAATGTGCCAGATGTAAAACAGACATGCTCACAATGTTCCTGCTAGAATACACATGTGCTGACAATGTACCAGATGGAAAACAGACATGCTCACAATGATCCTGCTAGAATACACATGTGCTGACAATGTAGCAGATGTAAAACAGACATGCTCACAATGTTCCTGCTAGAATATACATGTGCTGACAATGTAGCAGATGTAAAACAGACATGCTCACAATGTTCCTGCTAGAATACACATGTGCTGACAATGTACCAGCTGCAACAAACACGCTGAGAATGTTCTTGCTATTCACACAACACACATGCTCTCTCATAAACCTACTTATGTGGTGTGGTTTGGGAGAAAGAAATAGTTTGTATTAAATGATGTATGGTTTATCACTGGCGTTCAAATAATAAAATGTGTAATTCAGAACCAGTGTCGTTTGGCAGGCCATGTATAGATCAGTCTTAATGCATAAACAATAGTATCGCCTGAATGTTAAATACCTTACAAGCTGGGAACAACAGCAGTCCCACACAGAACTGTACAAGTCGCTGTCAGAAGCTGGTGAAGCAATGACGCAATGTAGACAATATGGACAAACTTTATGACAACTTCCTTATTACGAGCTGGAGAGTGTGACGTTTCGATACAGATATTTGTACCGTTGTCAAGGAGGAATGTTAACATGAAGTGGAGGCAAAGTATATTTACTGAGTGTAACAAAGTAAACAAGAGAACAAGATAATTAACACAACTGGCTAGGCAGTGAACTGATAGAGCTAGTGGGTTAGGGTGGTGGGTGGGGTGGTGGGGTGGTGGAGGCATAGAAGTCAGAGATGTACACATGACGGGCGGTTTAGGATTGCACATGTAATGATTGCACAGGTTCTGTTTGAAAACACAACACAACAAAAAATCGATAATCATAATGGGGCAAAAAACTCGATAATCATAATGCTGGCTACTGTTACTGCTGCTACTGTTACTGCTATGCTACTGCTGCTAAGCTACTGCTACCCTACTGGTTACTACTGTACTGCTACTGCTGCTGCTACTGCTACTGCTACTGTTTCTGCCACTGCTAGAGTGACTGTCTGACTGTTACTGTTACTGTCTGCAGGATAGGCTACTGCTACACAGCGTGCTACTGCTACAAGCACTGCTACTGGCTACTGCTACTGCTACCTTACTGTAAATATAGCATCACATATTTACAAATACTTCTGTTACTGAAAAAAGTAACTAAACTGCTACAAATACAGAACAGGCGAGCTACTGACTGTTATTTGAACTTGTTTCAGTAGAGGAGTCTGCTCGAGTTGTCTGATTAAGCGTAATGATTCCTGTAAATATAGCATCACATATTTACAAATATTCCTGAAAAAGTAATAAAACCAAATACAGAACAGGCGAGTGACGACATTTGAACCGCTGGCTGATTACAATGATTCTCGTCTCAACTATGTCGCTCTATACAAGGGCACTATGTCTGAACTGCACAACACAATCACAATGGGCACGAGGATCCAGGCACGTGTGTCAATGTAATACAAGGGCACTATGTCTGAATTGCACAACACAATCACAATGGGCGCAAGGATGCCAGCACTTGTGTCAATGTAATCCAGTTATTTCTTTCACTTTTGAATTGCTTTGATGTATCAGTCTGTATACAGACATGAAATAGTCATCTTGACATACAACTTTGTCATCACGTGGCACATTCCTGACACAGATCACATCATGTGACCCATTAGGCATAGGTCACTAATGCTAACGTCGTAACCCTATACCCGTCCAGATCCGGGTGTTGGCTTCTACAGCCCATGCTTGTAACTAGCGGAACGGATGGTCAGACTCGCTGACTTGCTTGATGCACGTCATCTTGTCAGTCACTCGATTGTCCAGACACGATTGTAGACGGATGTCATAAATTGCATGAATGCGGCGTTAAAACAGCAAGCCAAACATCCCCTTGATGTATGACGACCTGTGTTAACAATACCGGTTACACGTTTCTTTAAGTCAGTAAATGTCAGTGAACCCAGTTTTCCACGAGCTGCATTTTATCACAAGATCCTCCTGCCTTCCCTCCTCATTGGCCTCACCTTGTGACCTGTTGTTGTAGATGGTCAGCATAACCTCTTGACCCAGGTACATGGAACCCAGACTCGATGATGTCATTGATGTGTTGAGAACTGTGTTAGCGGGCAATATGACCATATGTAACGTCGGTAGTGCAACCTCCTCCAAATATGGAACGTATCTGAAATGAATAAAACATCGTGACTTGATGCCCTCTGCTAACACAACTGTAGATGTTCCACAAGGCTGGATTAGGAGTCTCCTTAGTTTCGGTTTCTGAAAGGTTGTGGTCACATTAACATCATGTCCAGGTTCAGTCTTGATTGATTAAAGGATTATCGTAAATAACTGTAAGAGCTTTAATCACCACCACCCCGACGCCCATTATATTTGGGATTAGACTTTCTTAGTAAAGTATAGATTCTAAAAGTAATGCCGGAAATGCTTGGAAAATGCTTTTTGGCTTCAACATCAATATGATGAATTTGACACAAGATAAAAGCACATATATGTTACATGAACGACTCTACCTAGTTGGATATTAAAGCTGAGATGAAAAAATGCACTTGAGGGGTGACTTCACAGGAGGAAATTTTGACGTTTTAACAACATTCATAAATATTCCAAGTACAAACTGTAGTTTTGAAATGCAGACTGTAATTACATGTATTCATATAGCCTCAACTAATTAAATTACATAATGATTGTAAAAAGTTTTGTTTTTCTTGAACATCTATATGTAAAAAAGATGGAACTCTTGTAGTAGTTATATTAAAAATAATTTCGTAAAAAAGTCTTAATTCAAATCGCATAGATAATCTTGTTCACCCGTAGAAGTTTCACTTCGTGTATGAGCACTGAACTGGCACCATGCGACTTGATATCTCTGCAGAACAATTAATTTCAAATTCATACCAGTATTTCATATCGGAGAAACAAAGGGGGAAACCTCTCGTCAGCTATGACCGGGTTTACTATAGAATGTGTAAAGCCCTTAATTTTACATATAGGCAGGTTTACAAGTTGTAAACCTCAGGGGTCGTGTCAAAATCGAAACCAGGTAGGACACACAAACTGGATAGCTTTGATAAGGGTGTCATACGCCGTACAGTTTATAAACTCTATGAACGGAAAATCCCACCGACGTGTGCTAAAATACAAGATGAGATCAAAGATACAATAAATGTCTCGAAAACATCACTTATTGTAGCTCTGGTAGAAATGGGGTTCAGGTACACCAAAAGGGGAGATGACAGAGCTGTGTTTAGGAAAAGTATTCAATATTGTCCATGCAATCAGCTTATCTCAGAACAGTTGAAGAATACCGCAAATTGGGGTTTCAAATTATATACCTTGATACTCATCGAGCTGATCTGAGGTAACTGTAAGAGTTTTGCTCGCAATAATACTACATTCAAGCTTTCAGACGTTAAAGAGCTTGTGTATGCTTCTTTTGCGAGAATAACCCCAGAAGTGTGGCAAAAGGCTGAAGACCATGCTCTCAAAATCGAGGACGAATACCGTTCACGTCAGCCGAGTTGCACCTGTTGCCATTCCGCTGGAGTCCTCGAACAGCAAAGATACTGACACTTGGTATTTTGAGACGGTCCCTGACATGAACTGCCCGTGCGTTACATAACGCTGTGACCTGTCTTCCTACCAGGTGGGTCACAGTATAGTTTGTTTCTTTGAAATGTTTCTACCATGGACATTTTTGTTTTTCGATATTTTACGAGTAATCATTATGATTAGGGAATGGTACATCGTGATTACTCATGTGCCATATTAGGTCGAGGTGGTATGAATGATTATATATGTGTTTCGAATCTGAAAAATCAACCATTATGAAATATTTGCCAAAATGCATTTCCAAGCATTTCTGACCTTATTTTAGTACTTTTATTGGGTTGAGTCCCATCCGGGATTCGAACCGACACCCTCTGGCACCTAATCAGCAGCACACAAAGTCAGCCGCCTGACCCGCTCAGCCACCGCGGATTCCACAAAAATGGAAGTCGGACAACTGGTAGTCTTGAGTGCGGACTTTGTGTACCCCTCTGATAAGTGTAAATACCTGGATAATGAACATTTACATGGTGGGTTGGAATTCTGAGCTGAATGTCATATTTGCTCCACAGACTGCAGGGGGCGCCTGTAGCCCCATATATAACATGCTGATAGACAGAGCTGACATGACACTCCCTCGTCCAGACAGAGATGTGCGGACCCATAAACATATAATCATTGCTCATCTCTTGAGAGACATTTTCCGCTGGACATAAAGTAAATAATATTTCACGAAAAAATATGAAACAAGTCGAATCACAATAGAGAGATTTGAATGCTCGCTTACCTTGCTGGGGCGATGTTAACTTGAGAAGCCGTGCCGTTATCACATGAGACATTATACACAGTCAAGGTGAAGCCTGTGGCTTTGGCCTTGTTGAAATCCAGCACCTGTAGTATATATACCGTTGCTGGCCTGTTTAAATAGAACGGGTGTTAGAGAAATGACTGTATCCCTAAGATTACCATGTGGATCATCTCAAAAGTTCCATGCATTATAAGGCAGATCTGATTTTCATGAAATTGTACGGATCATAACAACTCGATATGACCCATATTTGTAGTGCCCAGGTTTGAACAGCAGTCAATAGTGTGACGAGCCGCCTGCTATGGTTTTGTTGTAGAACTAGAGTTATCTGCCCTTATTATGCGTGTGACCCTTCAAGACGCTTGCTAGGGAAGTACACGCATGCCGTTTTCGCGAACACTGTTTTATCTTCTGCCTCATAGTGAGTGAGTGAGTGAGTATATGGCTTAATGCCGCTTTTAGCAATATTCCAACAATATCACGGCGGGGGACACCAGAATGGGCTTCACACATTGAACCCAATTATGGGGAATCGAACCCGGGTATTCGGCGTGACGAGCCAACGCTTTAACCACTAGGCTACCACACCGACCCTTCTGCCTCAAAATATAACCCGATTTCCAGCTTAACCTCTGCGTTATGCATTTTAAAACTTTTGACAATACCTTTGAGTAGTATACTCAATAGCGCTTCTGTGACAGGTCCTTACCAAAGGCTTGATTTATAAATTAAGCCTATGGTTAGTCCCTATCACAGAAGCGCTATTGTGTATACTACTACTGAGTTGTATGCAAAATATGAGTAAAATCGGTGCAATAGTTTCTGAAATATTGACTTTTAAGTGTGTGTGTGTGTGTGTGCGCGCGCGTGCGCGTGTAGTTGTTCGAACTACGGTCAATATGCTGCTGTTGCTACCAGACCATATACCCCACTGACGGCGTGATGCGCTGTTCGATGTTCACTATCAAAGGTGGCAGTGCTCTTTCCCTTCACAAGATGTCCCACGAATGCGATACAGTCCTTTCCTTACAATTCTTTAAGTGATGTGATGTTGTGAATGCAAGCATGATGCCTTACTTTGCATGACGTATTCAGCAAGTGTCCCCTGGAGTCAACTGTGAAATGTTTCTCAGCATCAGAACAAGCGGGTCTGCTTCCAACCACAAATATCTCAGGATTATTAGAGTTGTTCTGAAGAACGTTGATAGATCCATTTGTAAAACAGGCTGAAGAACAAAATGCATTCACATTTAATAAATATATTCATTGATGTACATGTATCTTGTTTGTTACAATACACCTGACAAAGGAGCAAACAACAGCCCAGAAACGTTGTGACATTCGATAAAGAAGAAGTTGTCATCCATAGTATTTGTGTTTTACTTGAATACCAACTAAATGTCTCTCAATAAGGTTACATGCTGTATGGAATAAATAGCATATACCCTTCAGATGACGCAGCCAGTAGATCACATTTCAATGGTTTGGGAGGATTACAGTGGTACGTTATATCTGAGGAACGTTTTTTTCTTTCGTAGGTTGGTTGGTTTGTTGTTTAACGCCGCACTCAGCAATATTCCATCTGTATGGCGGCGGTCTCTAAATAATCGAGTCTGGATCGAACAATTCAATGATCAACATCATGAGCATCGATCTACGCAGTTGGTATACGATCATAAAGAAATATGTGTCAACCAAGTCAGCGAACTGACCATCAGATGTCGTTAGTCGCCTTTTACGACAATAGGTTGCTGACGATACCGTAGCGGGTATTCTTTCGTAGGCAAATGATTACGTAATCATCCTCATCAAAGTATATAGCTCTTTGTATTAATTTGATTTAATTGATTACCTTACGGTTATTATGCCTGTAATTAAAAGACATATTTTGACAAAGCATGTAAGCGTTTCGTTGACTCACTGATGTTGAGGGGAGATGACGGCGTGCCTACTGTTATGACCTACAACAGAAAAACTGCGCGATGGGCATATAAATGAGTTAGATACAACAATATATCCGTTTCATTGAACCGACGGAGATAGTTCCCTTGAACACAGATGTAAGTTCACAACTTCAACTGTAGTTCACTGTACAACTGAATTAAGGTATTATTGTAGGTAATGGAAATACGAAGCAGTTCAATGAAACCGAAACAGCAGTTGAAGTGTTGAACTGATGCATGGATATATGCTTCACTTACATGTGGTAACAACACAAGTAGCCATGTACCCAAGGTCAGCCGTGCACCCGAGGTCAGCCGTGCACCCGAGGTCAGCCGTGCACCCGAGGTCAGCCGTGCATACAAGGTCTGCCGTGCATCCAACGTCAGCCACATGCTGAAGCAGTGAGATATTTTGTGATATAACTTGGCCATTGGAAGGGATCGTGTAGAATACATAAAGACAAACACATAAATACGAAACACACAAATGTATAACGACAACTACACAAAGAAATAACAAATTACACGAATACGTGAAGACATACTCAAATACATGAAGACATGCACAAATACATGAAGACATGCACAAATACGTGAAGACATGCACAGATACGTGAAGACATACCCAAATACACGAAGACATGCCCAAATACGTGAAGACATACCCAAATACATGAAGACATGCACAAATACATGAAGACATGCACAAATACGTGAAGACATACCCAAATACATGAAGACATACCCAAATACGTGAAGACATGCCCAAATACGTGAAGACATGCCCAAATACGTGAAGACATACCCAAATACGTGAAGACATACCCAAATACCTGAAGACATGCCCAAATACGTGAAGACATGCACAAATACGTGAAGACATACCAAAACACGTGAAGACATGCACAAATACGTGAAGACATACCCAAACACATGAAGATATGCACAAATACGTGAAGACATACCCAAATACGTGAAGACATACCCAAATACGTGAAGACATGCACAAATACGTGAAGACATGCACAAATACATACAAATATATGCAAATACATGAAGACATGCACAAATACATACAAATATATGCAAATACATGAAGACATGCACAAATACATACAAATATATGCAAATACATGGAGACATGCACAAATACATACAGATATATGTAAGTACATAAAGACATGCACAAATACATACAAATATATGCAAATACATGAAGACATGCACAAATACATACAAATATATGCAAATACATGGAAACATGCACAAATACATACAAATATATGCAAATACATGGAGACATGCACAAATACATACAAATATATGCAAGTACACTGAGACATGCACAAATACATACAAATATATGCAAATACATGAAGACATGCACAAATACATACAAATATATGCAAATACATAAAGACATGCACAAATACATACAAATATATGCAAATACATGAAGACATGCACAAATACATACAAATATATGCAAATACATGAAGACATGCACAAATACATACAAATATATGCAAATACATGAAGACATGCACAAATACATACAAATATATGCAAATACATGGAGACATGCACAAATACATACAAATATATGCTAATACATGAAGACATGCACAAATACGTGAAGACATACCCAAATACGTGAAGACATACCCAAATACGTGAAGACATGCACAAATACGTGAAGACATGCACAAATACGTGAAGACATACCCAAATACATGAAGACATGCACAAATACGCGAATACATACCCAAACACATGAAGACATGCACAAATACGTGAAGACATACCCAAATACGTGAAGACATACCCAAATACATGAAGACATACCCAAACACGTGAAGACATACCCAAATACGTGAAGACATACCCAAATACATGAAGACATGCACAAATACGAGAAGACATACCCAAACACATGAAGACATGCACAAATACGTGAAGACATACCCGAATACGTAACCACGTACACAAATACGTAACCACGTACACAAATACGTAACCACGTACACAAATACGTAATCACGTACACAAATATGTAAACACGTACACAAATGCACAAACACATACACACAAACACATACAAACATGTACAAATACAGTAAAAGATGCGCTAATACATAAAGACATGCACAAATACATACAAATATATGCAAATACATGAAGACATGCACAAATGCATGCAAATATATGCAAATACATGAAGACATGCACAAATACATACAATTATATGCAAATACATGGAGACATGCACAAATACATACAGATATATGTAAGTACATAAAGACATGCACAAATACATACAAATATATGCAAATACATGAAGACATGCACAAATACATACAAATATATGCAAATACATGGAAACATGCACAAATACATACAAATATATGCAAATACATGGAGACATGCACAAATACATACAAATATATGCAAGTACATGGAGACATGCACAAATACATAAGACATGCACAATATATGCAAATACATGAAGACATGCACAAATACATACAAATATATGCAAATACATGAAGACATGCAAGACATACATACAAATATATATGCAAATACATACAAATATATGCAAATACATGAAGACATGCACCAATACATACAATATGCAAATACATAAGACATGCAAATACATGAAGACATGTACAAATACATACAAATATATGCAAATACATGAAGACATGCACAAATACATACAAATATATGCAAATACATGAAGACATGCACAAATACATACAAATATATGCAAATACATGAAGACATGCACAAATACATACAATTATATGCAAATACATGAAGACATGCACAAATACATACAAATATATGCAAGTACATAAAGACATGCACAAATACATACAAATATATGCAAATACATGAAGACATGCACAAATACATACAATTATATGCAATGAAGACATGCACAAATACATGAAGACATGCAAATAAATGACATGCACAAATATATATGCAAATACATGAAGACATGCACAAATACATACAAATATATGCAAATACATGAAGACATGCACAAATACATACAATTATATGCAAATACATGAAGACATGCACAAATACATACAAATATATGCAAATACATGAAGACATGCACAAATACATACAAATATATGCAAATACATGAAGACATGCACAAATACATACAAATATATGCAAATACATGAAGACATGCACAAATACATACAATTATATGCAAATACAAAAAAATATTTACAGAAAAGGCACAGACATAAATGCAAAGACATATCCAGTTACATTGGGACTTACACAAACACATAAACATACACAAAATGACATACACTCCTGCATAAAAACACACATGCACACGCACACGCACACATACAACTGTGTAACTACACAGATGCATAAATGTATACATAAACCATGAAACACACAAACACACATAGACAGACACACAAAGACAGACACATACAAATGCACAGACACACATTTGATATCCGTTTTTTTTTTAAACAATAGGTTCAAATACTCCATTCATACTTAAATGTCATTTCCAATATTAAGACGTTTCTTTGCCTTTCAGCACATATATATATAGGGGACATTCAGATTTAATTCCTAGACAAATGACGGACGTCAGCCATTGTGGTTGTTGATCGTGGAGGAACACAGTGCCCAGATAACACGACCTGCACGTCTAATCTGACACCTGTAACCGATTACTGGGAGAGACAGCAAACAATTCGTACATGTTACTTCCTTCCTTTAAGATGGAACTCAATCACTCTCAGAAATATACAAATACACATACAAATACATATAGACACAGAGACACAAATACAGAATAACCTTTTCATTGTGTATTGAAGATTCAAACAACACAAGACACAGAAACTAAGCGTGCAACATTGAACAGTTACAAACCTGCACCTGCCAGCGTGTTATCTGTTGGTGGGAGTCACCTCAACTTCGGACTTAGAATGTCGGCTGTACATTATCTCCTACCCTTGATCCCAGTAGTGCACAATCACCTGTCTGCCATTTTAAAAAAGTAAATCTATAGCGTTATTTGTAATACTGTCTTGTTTACTCGCTATACTGTCGTGTGTCCTCGTTTTACCGCGTCGTTTCCTCACAATAATTCTTACGTTCCCAAGCAATATAATCTTGGCACTGCCACAGCACTGGTAAGCACACGCCGAAATAAGTTGCTCAATCTGTCATCAGCCTGATACCAACGAACACCCGAAGTCTATGAAAGACGCCGGTCTGGAGCTCAAGGGAAAATACTCTGGTTTACGACAGTCAGAAGGATGGTCTTAAGAAATGGCCAGTAGACAAAGTCAGCGATCAAACCACACAGCCACCGAGGTTTTCAGAGAAAGGGAAGACTGACAACTCGTAGTCTGGGGTACTTTGTGTACTCCTTTGACAAGTGAAAGCATGACTGCACAATGCCTTCTAGAAAGTGATCAAATATAACAACTTTGGTACTTGTCCCCAGTGCGAATCAAACCCACACACTCAAAGTGAGGCACCTTAATTCAGCCAAGTCATACATTGGACCTGAAGACATAGAACGGTGATTCTCATCTTTTTGGCATATTCCAAACATGGGTATATTAGACCAAAAGACACGTCGCGACAAAACATGGGTATATTAGACCAAAAGACACGTCGCGACAAAACATGGGTATATTAGACCAAAAGACACGTCGCGACTCAGAAAAACAACCTTGCCTAACGGCAATTGGACAGTCAAAATTCTCTCTATTTAAATTACTGGATGTTCGTACACGTACAAACGCTTTCACAATTTCTAAGACCAACTTTAACACCAACTAGTTTCATTTTTCTTACAAAGACCACCCCTATTTAATAAGTATCACGATTTCTGCCTATGTACTGAATCAAATGCCATCGAAAAGTCTATCAAACCCTGATGTATAAATATATTATCAATTGTTGAATAACCTTCTCTAAATTCAGCCTGTCCTTTTGCCTTATGAAAACTGTGTGCCCAGAAGACCAATCTATTATTCAGAATGTCTGTATAAACCTTTCCAATACACTTAATAGAGACATACCTCGATAGGTCTCTGGATTGTTTTTGTCTGCTCTCTTGTATATATGGATAATGATGGCCTTGGACCAAGATAAGGGAAACTGGCCTTTGTCGTATAGTGTGTTAAATATTATTTCTAAGAACGGGGCCATGAAGTGACTTGACGATTTAAACATTTCACTTATGGTTTCATCAACGCCCTGGGCCCCGTTCCTCAAAGCGATCGTAGCTCCACGACAGTCGTAACTCCCATACTTTAACATAGACTTACGACTTCGTAGCGCTACGATCGCTTTGAGGAACGGGGCCCTGGGCTTTATTTGTCCTAAGTTTGTAATCTGAAGCTAAGACTCCATCTCTACTGTTTGGAGCATTGAAGAGATCATCCTGCAGCATGCTGAGAAGAACAGCAAATCGTTCATAATCAGAGTCACAATCTGGAAAATCAAGCTGATCTAGTACAACATCATCACTTCTTTTGACGGACAGATTTGTTAAATAGTCAAACCAAGTTGATTTAAAATACTATTTTCTGCAGGATACGGTTTTGACCAATATACGCTAAAATTGTTTGGAGTCATCCAATGCCTCATACAAATCTCGTATTTGTTTTTGTTCAAAATTGCGATACTCCTTTGCACAAGGTGATTTATACGCTTTCTTGGCTAGCTGTGAAATAAACTTCTGGTGATAGTCTTTCTGCTTGCATAACGTACTTAAGAAATGGAGTCTGCTTTTTGAAACCAATCTTGTGATTGATAATGTCCTTGGATGGGGGGTGACCGTGTTTGGCACAAATGACCAGTATTAATGAGTTCTAACAACACGCTGCATGTATTCAGCTGACCTCAACAAAATTTCTGTAAACATATTCACTCCCTTGATAATATCAGACAAAGTATTTACAGCGTCATTAAATTCACCTGCAGTCTCAAAAGTGATATTTAATATTTATCGTTCCATGATTATTTCACAAAGCTGTTCTGTGATAATGGTAATGACAAAGTGATGGGTAAGGGGTGAGCTTCTGCCTGCGTAGAGATCGCGAAAGAGGATATATGATTGAAACACAAATCAGTTAAACTTCTACAGATGAAATATACAAGCTCAGATATTACACCCACATTAACAAACCATTTGTTATGGAATTAAGCCCTGTAATAGTACCATTGTCCTTTAAAGGAAATTTCTGGCAGAGTTTTTTTTCCTGCAGAAATTTCTGGCAGAATGTTTTTGCTCATGAAGTAATATCTGCAAGAAGTGTTAAAATTCAGAGCAAATATTAGGTTCTATCTTCGAATTGTTTAATAGTTTAATAGCAGAACAATTAGCAGCTTTTGCTGCTGAAACACTGTTCCAGACACAAATACCGTGGGGCGGTGGGGTAACCCTATGGTTAAAGCGTCCGCTCGTCACGCTGAAGACCCGGGTTCGATTCCCCACATGGGTAGAATGTGTGACGCCCATTTCTGGTGTCCCCCGCCGTGATATTGCTGGAATATTGCTAAAAGCGGAGTAAAACCAAACTCACTCACTCACTCACAAATACCGTATTCCACCATTTACACTTTATTTCTAGCAATATATCTCATTACCTCAGATCACAAAGCAGATTCATATCGATGCCACATGGTATCATTGGCAAAGGAGTCACAAAATCAGATCACAGAGGCTTTACTATTGTCAGTGTGGTCACGCACCACGCCCACCCACTGCATGCATGTTCCTCCATGTTCACACTGTACATCTGCCAAGCTGACCTTCCGCCAAACATGGAACAATGGATCTCAAACATTGCACCGGAACAATTTAAATGTTCCTTAACATGTTGGTCTAGCCTTGAAGTACAAACCAAGATAAAATACCTGAATTTCAAGCCGGTTTTAGAAAAGAGTATTCTACAACTGATTACGTTTTTACCTTAAATGCAATAGTTCAGAAATGCTTATCAAGAAACAGAAGAAATTATATATTGCCTTCGTAGATTTTAAGAAAGCTTTCGATTCCCTCTCACCATATAAACTTTGGTATTTCTTCAAAACTCTGGATATAAATGGCAAAGTGTTACCTGCAATAAAAAGTATATATGTATCCGTTAAAGCATGTGTAAGATGCAACGATAATGTTCACACAGATTATTTTGATTGCCCAGTCGGTCTAAGACAAGGGTGTATTTAAGTCCACTTCTTTTTTCCTTTTTTATTGGTGAACTGTGTACTGATATTGTAGAAAGTGGTAAATTTGGTGTACAGCTGTTTCCTGAATTTTTTAGAGATATTGCTATTACTTTCTGCAGATGATGTCATTCTCATATCTGACGTTGCTTCGGGACTACAAAAACAACTGAATAATTTAGAATCATATTCTGATAAATGGGGACTTGAAGTCAACCTCGATAAAACCAATATTGTTGTTTTTAGAAGGGGTGGGCGAATATCAGCTAAAGAAAAATGGTATTATAAAGACTCTGTTATTGACGTTGTGAATTCATATAGATATCTTGGTATTATATTTTTATTCACGTTTAAAATGAATAAATGTACAGACGATCTAGCACTGAGAGGAAAAAGAGCATTATTATAAATATTATATAACTTAAGAAACATTGATGTGATTGATCCTAGGGTATTCTTTAAATTATTTGATTCACAAATTCAACCAATTTTACTTTATAGTGCGGAGGTATGGGGGTTAGCCGCTATGAGAATATTTAAAAAGTTCATTTGCTTGCATGTAAGAGATTCCTAAATGTAGGATTAAACGCCTAATGTTATAAATATAGTGAATGTAGACGATATCCTTTGTATATAAATGCCTTATGTCGAGTTATTAAATATTGGTTAAAACTTATAGAAATGCACTCTGGTAGAATACCCAAAAAATCATATGACATGTCAGTATATTTAGATAACATTGGGTAAAATAATTATGCTTCTCATATTCGTAATATACTTTTTTCACATGGATTTGGGTTTGTATGGTTAGCACAAAGTGTAGGCAATAAGGTTGATTTTCTTAGATATTTTAAAGATGTATGTGTAAATATGTTTTACCAATCTTGGCATTGTACTCTCGACAACAGTTCACGCTACAATTTGTATAAAGAATGTAAGAGTTTACTAGAACCTGAAAAATGTTTAAGTGTTATATATCAAAACCTTCGTGATATACTTATAAAATTCCGAGCAGGCCTATTACGAATAAAAATAAACGAAGGAAGATGGTTGAATATTGATGTATCTCTACGCACATGTCCTGTTTCTAAATGCGGTATAGAGGATGAATTCCATTTTCTTCTAGTATGCAAATATTTTTCTGAAGAAAGATTATCTTATTTTCCACATGTTTACAACTGCATTCCAAATATATTTATATTTTAAAACCTGTTAACTTCTGCTTCAAATGAAGCATTATTAAATTTATGCAAATTCATATATACTTCTTATAAAAAGAGACAGACTTTGTTAAACTCTTAATGGTTTTACATCATGTTTCCAATATATTTTGATTGTATATATGTTATATGTATATTGGCCGGTGGCCTTCATGCATAATAAAGATCTTTGACTTTGAAGTACATGGATTATGATGCTTTTAAACTTCTTTGGAATAGGCCCATATACAGTCTCAGAAGAATTCCAGTCAACAAACCTGATCTTGTCGTTTTTGATAAAGCTAATGAAATTATTTATATCATTGAATGTTCTGTCCCTTTTGACAGCAACGTGATTGGCAAGATTCAGGAAAAGCATGATAAGTATGCGGACCTCGCCTTTGAAATGTCTCGCTTGCATCCCAAGTACACTGTCGTCAGACTCCCCATTGTTCTCTAGCCCTTGTTTTGGTACCTCCTGATATCTTGGCGCAGATCAGGAGAGTGCCCGGGTTCTCCACCGGGAGAACAGCCCTTCTGACGCTCTGGGTAATGCAGAAGGCTGCAGTGTTTTGGAGTCTACATATTCTCCGAAAAGTTCTTGGGGGTTCGACTAGGCAGCGTTCCTGGGAGAAGTCCCATTCGCTGTCTGGGCTGCGTGTAGAGGGGGCAAGGGCCCTGAGCTGATGATGAGCTTTACCAGCCTGACTGTGCCAGGATCACCCGAACCCTCTCTGCTGCATTTTCATCTTAATTTGTAAAACATAATAATCACAGGAGAATTTAGGATCACAACTTGACCTGACTGTCCATTTGACGCTGTCCGCCATTTGGAATTCAAGGACTGCTGATTGGCTCTCCACGCGAGTGTCAGCTTTATCATAAATACATATGTCAACCAAGTCCCAGTAATTTTCACAATGTCCATTATAATCTGTAGATTGCATGTACTGGACAATCAGGATGTAACATGTTTTCAGTTTAACTTTCTAGTACTATTGTCTGATGGGGGATGGCGCTACTTGAGGGACTGATCACGGTCTACACTAGCGACCTGTAGTCTGAATCATGTGGGCTTCTCTGTGTTCCAAAATGGAATGGATGAATTCACGGGTATGGTGCTACCAAACCGAAATACATAACTGGTCCAAACCTGGACTCGAACCCACCGTGTAACACTATTTGTCGTATGCACTAGTCAAAGATAAGTACACTTGTAAAGATATGACCAGCTAAGCAGAATATATCCATGAGATTGTACTTTGCCTTCAAGAGCAGGCAGGGTAGGCAGCAGACGCTGTGTCGGACTCGGTGGTAGCTGTTTGCCCTGCCTCACGTAGCTATACTGCGAGAACAGTCACCCATTCTTGTCCGACACTACCACCTGTGTTGTTTGAAGAGTGCCAGACAACAACAAGTCATAGGTTTCTGGCGTGCACAGGGGAGGCAATTCTGCTCTACGTATAATGGCGTCTTTGACAACTCTCCGTCCAGTGCCTTGCAGGGAGATTCTAAGCACTCAATGACCTTTTATCTCTCATCTGTCAGATAATGCATTTCCGTATCATGGTTGTAACGAATGTCACGCAGCTATCCCAACAAAGCCAGTGTGTTCAGTTTATGAATCACCATATCTGACACTGTGTCCATCATATCACGGAACACCTGTGAAGATCCGGGTTAGAATTGGTCTAAAGTGTACTTGCCCAGCAAAGCGCCAGAGTAAAGGTAGCGCAATTGTCAGTAAAACCCATGATATTGTGCATTAACAAAATATACAGAAACCATTGCAATAGTGTGTCAGTGTTGTACAAATAGAGGAGAGATGTTGATTCGGTTAGAAATGCCGTTTATTGAAGATATTCCGTTTAAAATAATCAAGTTTATTTGTTTACAAGGCACTAAAGCATACAATGACTCAATTTTCAAAGGACATGAAGCTGAAGAAATATTATAATCATTCTAATCAACCAATGCAAAAGATTTCAAATATTTATCAGATATATCTTCAGAGACAATAGGAATTCTTTACTAAATCTACACAGAATATGTGATAATGAAATAGGCTCATAGGCTCAAACATTATAATTCGCTTCTAACGCCAGTCGAACAGTTGCTATGCCCAAAGAGTATCAAGTTGAAGAAATATAATGATTCATTCGTCCATTGCCATCAGTGTGTGTACACACCTCTATTGCACAAGATTATTAAAACGTATATATTAACTATATCATCAGAGGCTAAAAAACCCCGAAATTTTCATGTATGCTAATACAAAATATTGTGATATTAAAAAAAAGCTCACAGCCTCGCATATTATAAATTGATTGGAAGTCATCAAGCGTGCTTGCAGGGAATCATCGGCATGTGTTTGGCTACACTGTACAGTCGGATGCTGATTACTGAGAATGATATATGTCAACTGTCTGGGTCTTGCTGACACGTGTGTTCATAGTTAGGCTGCTGGACTTCACTTGAAGATGTACATCAAGGCTACCAGTGCCCAGATCCCTGTAGAGCACCTTGAAGCTGGAAACAGAAACTGCAGATTCATCTACACGAAGGATACAAGCAGCAGTAAATATAAAAAGGTCACATTGAACCAATACTCGTGTGAAGTGTCAGAATAGTGCTACGACATGATATATACTGGCAGGAAATGCAGTTTGAAATCAAATATACTATTAAATATTGGAAACAAACTACATTAGTGAACTCTCTAAATAACTACACAAACTCTGATACATGTCGACGAAAATGTCTGAGTTTAGGCAAAAATATGTTCCAGATTTCAAAACTGGTCAAATCAAGTTCAAACTTTAAATATCGGGGAAAAAACAAAACAGACGGTTCAGTCCTCATACTAGTCTCTCTAGCACCAAATGTCAGTGTATTTGTAACAACAATGGCCGACGAATGACAACACAAATACTGAATTCAAATCTGAACAAATTAGATTGCCGTCGGTCGTAGGAAAACGTATAAAAAGTTTCAGCTTTATTGGTCTAGTGGTGACTGAGATGATGGTTAAAACCCAAACGGACGACGGACGAACGAGCCATGAGTTATGGAAACCTGACTTTCAGTCGGGGGGAGGTAAACCGAGGATCACGGAGTTAAACTGTGTCACCTGGATCTTAGGCTCCAATCAATCCAGGTGCTTTGCCCAGATTATAACTCGTACTTACTGGCCACAGTGCCAATATTTTGTTGACTGCACAGTGTAACAGTCAGAATATCATGCAGCATAAAATTATATTTAAGAGAATCTGCCCAATGAAATGAAGATTTAAGCTCCGGAATAATTATTCAGCTATCTATCACACATGTGTTCTTTCCATCGATGAACAAAATACAAGTCAGATAAGGAAAAAATCTATTCTGAAGAGATAACGTATCAAGTATTTCAAATACAGACCGCCAGCCATCAGAGGTTCCTGAACGCTGAACGTGGCTCTCAGGGTCGCCCTTCTGACGCCACTCTCCCCAACTCCAACATCTCTCCTCCGCCTCTTCTTTGTGTAGTCAGAAGTAGGACTCACTTGACTACAGCTGTTTTGCTTAAGATGATAAAGAAGACAATATGCGTTTCTAACAAATGTACATTTTGATAAATCATTGCATTGTCTATTATTACCTTTCAAAATACAAACTTCAAACCTTGTTTTGAAACGGATTAATCATCTCTCAACGCGATGTGGTACTGCTGAAAATAGACATTTTGTTTATGGCAATAATTTTTTCAACATATTTCTATAACTGAGTTCATGTTCCAATGGACCATGCACGTATCTTGAGAATGTGATTTTGTCATTAATCATATGTATTAAACAAATGAAGAATTACATCCGGTTGTCAGTGGACGTAAAATGATTCTGACTTTATCAACATAAGCACATCTTTTGTTTCCAGCAAACGTTTGTTTCAAGCAACGTTGGGATAATTTACCTTCAGAACAAAAACTCGTGCATGGCTGCAAATACCACAAGCTGTGGTTACTGCAAGAACTGCTTTAAAAATGTAGAAGAGCCCGTTTTTTTCTCTGTTATATTCTCATGACTTTGTAAACATTCTTCACACACCGAACTATGTGTCTGGAATGGGTGTTGTTGTAATATCCTATTGATCTATGCTCAACAATTCACTTTTAAATCCATTAATTGCCAAACGTTACTGTAGTTACACCACAAACTTCCCAAACTTAATCTGAATAGGTTTAATCACGAAAATACAACACATTGTTGACGCTTGTGATATTATACGCATCAAAATCTATGTTCTGTCAATACATGAATATATCAAATAAATACTCTAAATTAAGTCAGAATCAGTTGTTTCAATTCATTTGTTCCAACAATAATTCAGCTCTCTATTAATATGTAGAATTAGTTAAGCTATTTATTTGAATCTGTCAGGATCTATGAATGACACACCGATGCACGAGCTCCGAATCCAGCCACGCCCACTAAAACCAATACTTTACTTCTCCCCTTTTCCCCCTTCTATGAAGCCCTCCTCATGCACAGCGTGCAGCGACGAAAACAGAAACACATTTATGATATTATACACATAAAAATTACTTTCTATGTAATATGAATATATCTTATAAACACTCTAGATTTAGTTAGAATGAGTTATTGCAGCTTTCAGATCGTAAGCTATTACGCTATTGGGCGTAAGCTATTTATTTAAAGTGAACACAGCTTGTTTTACTTCTAGGTACATCAATAATATTATCCTAACATTGTTTTCAATAAGTAAAATTCGGATTCCCTTCACTACCACTTTGAACAAACAGCCCTTCATTCTATGTCTGGTTGAAAATATCTATCAGCATCGCACATTTCATTTACAATGTATTTGTACCTGGGAGTTACCATTGTGTTTTGTGCTATCTCAGGTACGGGAAAATACACTACACGCCAAAAGACACCTTACCCGCCTACACTTATGAATTACTTAAAAACTATCAAAGATATGTTAGAAGGTATTAGTTTACAAGAAAGCTTAACAACACAGCTTGATGCACATCACGAAACACTTTTCTCAAATGCATTCGTATTTAGGTGAAACGCATCTTTTTCAGAAGAGTTAAATTGTCCTATTTTCCTCCATGCCGAAATACACCAATAACAGTGATTTATATGTCCAAATGAAAGATTGAAATACAATTCTGCTTTGGGACAAAGATAAACCATTTTTCAACTATTAAAACAAGAAACAACTGTTGTTGAGTGTGTAAAATTGTAAAATAATCATTCCCATGATTTCAGTCTTTTAAAACATTTTCTGCTGATTTGCATTAGTGAAAACAAGTAAAACGTGTTTTTGATACTGTGAAAAAATGTTTAGGAACATCTACAATGATATTTGTTAACATTGTCGCTTGCAAAGTAACATTTTTCCATTTTCTGTTTACACATAGGAATATCAATCGCCAAAACGCAGCAATATTCAAACAGTATTTACATCCATTTCACATGCAGAATGATTCTATAGGGTATAAAGAGAGCCTAGAAGACATGATCTGATACACAAGTACGAGAAATATGCCACGACTAACTGCTGAAGAGAGAGAAAGAGCCATTGGGATGGTGCAGATGGGGGTCGACATACAATGCGGTTGCCAACGTTCACGGATGGCACCGTATCACGGTTATAAGACTAATTCAGGGCTTCAGACTGGGATCACCGTAGACAGACCAAGAAGTGGACGTCCACGCATCACAACGCCAGTTGAAGGTAAGTACCTCCGTCTTTTGGCGTTTAGTGTATACCAGGGCTCCAGATAATTTTTCATGATCAGGAGTACGTATTCCTTATTTTTTCAATATAGGAGTACTGGAAAACAATAAGAGTACATTTAGAGTACTGAATGGAATTTAATGGAGTATCAGTAATCTTGTGTTTCGTTTATGCACCACAACATTGCTACTCTTGTGTAAACAGTTCAATAAACAATAAAACAATACTTTTTCAGACAAATACGTCTGTAAATGATTCTAGGACCGTACACCATTGCTGTGGTGCGTATCTGCAACGTTTTCTAAATTATTTCCTACCGTATCGTGCTTATTTTATATCCGTACATACGCCGATACGGCCCTTATCTGGAGCCCTGGTATAGTATACTATTAAAACAAGTACAGAATAATACATTTTGTGTTGATAATATTTGGAAATCAAGTTGTATGATTGCTTATGCTTTTATGAAATGATTATTCCATTCCATTTTTCATGATCTGCACGTGAACATGGTTGGGGTAACAATGGAACTTTACAGTAAACCGTGTCAGTGTGTTGCTGTTCATATCAATGATGAAAACCAGACTGATCGTAATTCATACATTCTATTAAACTCAATCAAACGGGGTTGTTTACATGCAGCGTCTGTCAAGTCAGGAACGGGTGCCTGCAACTGGCATGTTCGAGGATGGAACAAAACAGAACATTGTGGCGCGAGGTCACAACGTTTCACAGTCAGTAATTAGTATGAAAAGGCGCACAAGACCGTTTCGACAGTGTAAGAAACCGCGGTAAAAGAGCCTTTGAACTGGAGATGAGCTTAACAGAGTTACAGCTGTTTGGATGAGTGGACAGACGATTAGCAAGCGGATGGAGCCTGACGTCATCGTTGTTATCCAAAGGACCGTCACTCTACTGCAAGATGCCGTTGGTGTGTCAACATTGAGAACGTCGCTATACGTCATTAACCAGACGCCCATTGCACCAGATGCACAACAGTAACAGGTTTGACTGCACTACACTGATAGTTGTGTTGTAAAGTGGTAGTTTGTCTCATTGAGTTGTTGACCCATTTAATTCATACGGGTATGTCTCCGTTACTTACAGTACCTATATACAGATCTATATACTGATGTTTTGGTTACCTTTCTGTCGCAGTAGCCGGTTCGTACACCATCAACTTTATCATCCTTGGGGCAGATGTACACAGTGCACTCCAGTACCACGGGTTGGTCAGTGAAGCCTTCAAACTTGAATGGGTACAGAGTGGCATAGGCCAGGTCGTAGTCTGTCGTATTTGTTACGTTGAATGAGCTGAGCAGTTTGTCTTCGTGTGCACATCTGTATTAAATACATATATTTCAAATCAGAGCATCGTATTCCGAGTTTTCGGGCAGTATTTTGAAAAGAGTATCAGACAAAAGGCCCGTGTTTACTGTTGACTGATTATCAGTACTTGTATGGAAATCATTTGATTACAAATTCCCAAGTTTTACAAATCTAATGTTATTTTCTGCAATGCGATTATATATGAAAATAATGAAATTAAACCTTGTTCTTTTTGGAATCACTAGTTTTATTTGTGAATCAGTGAGAATGACTCTGTGAACGCTTTCATAAATCTATCGGGACTTCGAATGAGCTATATCATATCTGTTTCGGTAGATGGACTCCAGAATCAGATATGACACACTAGCTGCAGCCCTTCGATGGAAAAGTGACAGACTGACAAGAACTGTTTCATGTTGAGAGTTTGACTTGTGTAACGCCACACTCGGCAATGTTCCAACTATATGATAGTGTTGTATGCATCAATGGACAAGGCAGTAAGGTCAAAGACATCATTAACATCGATCTTCACAATTGGGATGGTGATTGTACAATTAGTCGGTATCACAACGACGGTCTCAGACAAATCGGTGATGTACACCATGAGCTTTGATTTAAGCATTTTGGAGGATACAATGACATGTGTCAAGCAAGTCTTCGAGACTGATCATGCTAATCGCTCCTTACGACAAGCACGGGTTGCTGTAGACATTTTGAGAGGAATTAGGAAAGGATAGCAACTGTGTATATACTTCTTGTTGTTCTTGTTGTTGTTGTTGTTGTCTTCCTTCAACAATGTAAGCCGCGGTTTGCCCGACTTCCCCGGGTTCGGGAAAGCAATACATTGTGACGGGATCAGCATGTCAGACATTCTGTTGTTACCTGTACAGCAAATAAAACGTACCCATCTCAAGTACAAAATACTAAATGATGAGTTTACTTTCAAACAGATCGCATTGAATGTCATCGTGCCTTTCTCCAACGTAAGATTGGGTTTGGTAAAATCATGTACCAATATTATATTGATCTCCGATCCAAGGAGACATCTCTCCCTTTGGAGGTTTGGAGGTTTTATCTGCTAAAACACAACCCTACTGTATACCTTTGAATTAGTTTATTCTAGAACATGATTGCTCTCTCAATAGTGGTATTTCTCCTCCCATAAAAAACCCTTGTCAGTATAAATGTAAATCATTCGGCGCCATATTTGTAGAATATGTTATCTGCTAAATCAATTTAGGCACACATATTCATAAAAAATTCACAGTTTAAACATCTTCTTATCTGATCCAATTTGGTCGGGAACTACATCATGTCCGTAGCATTTAGATACGTTTCTATAGTAACTATAAAACAATATCACTGAAGTCAAGTCACTCAAGAACGTATCAATGGTTATGATAAGCACTCGTCAAACATGAAAGACACATTTTACTTTTGATCTTTTTAGTTTGATGGATATATCAAAATATTATATTAACTTTTTTGGAGTATTGTGTACATATATACAATTATGTCGACGTTATCGTTGATATGACTTACCAACTTGTTGGACTTACCTCGGTCATTGTAAATAACAAGTTGCGCTTCACTGCCTAAAATCAATGACGTTATAGGCTTTGTAGGGTCGTTTACAGGCACGGTAGACGCAGCAAAGATGCCTATCTTCAGACTGGGCAGTACAAGTTGTGAGGCATTTGCCTGGACACTGAAATGAGAGAATGTACATGAGCCGGACGATATCTCATCTCTTTATTTAATGGATATTTTCGTGAATTTTTCAAACTATCGTTTAAACTCTCTCACAACTGAAAACTTTTACACAGATCAAACAAACATGAAAGTCATGTGTATTATTGCAACATAAGCACTTGATTCATATTCAACAAACCAAGCCTTAGACTGGAATGAATGACACAAACAGAGAGTTCTGAGTACTATGTAAATAATGCAAAAAGTAAGTGTGTGTGTGTGTGTGTGTGTGTGTGTGTGTGTGTGTGTGTGTGTGTGTGTGTGTGTGTGTGTGTGTGTGTGTGTGTGTGAATACAATTCATTGAGACTATTCTACTAATCACACAAGTCGTAAGAACTTCATCCCTCAAACAAAGTTCAACTTGTTTGTTATCAAGTTATGTCCCTTTGGTAGGCCCGGACCTTATGTTTATATTTCTAGGTTTGTCAGCATCATGCTCGTGCTCGTGGGTTTCTGCATCACGGCTTCCATTGTTTCACTGGTACAACGCGGACTGAGTCCACAATTTGTTGCTAAGTTACAAAAGAGTCGTCACAGTGGTACAGTCGTCATAGGTTCCACAATTCGCCGTGCGGAGTTGCGCCCCTTGAAACCTGTGATCGTGGATTCGAATCCCGGTTTGCTAAGTTTGTCAGCACCAAACCCGTGATTGTAGGCTTCATGAACCTGGCCTCGAATATTGCGGCTTCCCGGCACATTGAGATAATGTGCTGTTATAGACATAGACACTGTAACTGTTCTAATCTGCCCACTCACTCGTTTACAAACAAACAATGATTGCGAACTTTATATATTACTCGGTATTGTTTACAGAAAATGTTAAATGTTGAAATCTCTTCAACTCATACTCAGTGAGTGGAAATCAAGTGTAACCCGCCAGTATTTCAGTCTGATCGATGACACGGTACCTACCACTTCTCGACATGTATACAGTGATTTCATTCAAGATTCTTTGTTCACGAGAACGGAATTGCTGAAATTCTTCCACCTGCTCTCATTTAGAAGATGAAGCTACCGCCGACAAAAAATAAGGGAACTGATGAAATGACACTGAATGTGTAATTGCTATAAATGTCCACAAAATCAATTTCGGGCGTGAAATTCAATATCTGGTGTGTCCACCATGTTGGGCGACACATTCGTGACACCTTGATGGCATACTATTGATTAACCTCCGGATGGTTGCCCGTGGTATTACCCGCCATTCCGCCTGATGAGCTACCCCTATGTCTGTATGCCGTCTCGTCGAAGATAAGCGGTGACGACTTAAGCACGATGTGGTCTGGCATTATCATCTGGGAATTCAAAATTCCTGCCGATATTTCTAGCCAGTGGAGCCACGACAGGTCGCAAAATTTCGTCAAGATATCGCTGACCAGTCAATTGTCCATCAACGATGACCTGGGCCCCGTTCCTCAAAGCGATCGTAGCGCTACGACAGTCGTAAGTCTATGTTAGAGTATGGGAGTTACGATCACCTTAGCGCTACGATCGCTTTGAGGAACGGGGCCCAGATCCGATCGACTGTCATTTGTAATACCGCCCCACAGTATGACACTACCGCCCCCATACCGATCATGGTCAATGCCGCTCTGGTATACCGCACACCGCTGCGGCGCCAACAACGTTTTCTGCCATCTGTGAATCGGAGGCAAAACCTTGACTCATCCGAGAACATGGTATAACGCCTATGGAGCAAAGCCCTTTTCCTGCTGCTTCCTAGCCCACACCAATGTTTAGTGCCTATGGTAAGCTGTGAGGGTAACACCCTTCACAGGCCGCCTTGCTTTCAGACGGGCTTGATAAAGTCGGTTCTTAACGGTCGAGGCTGTCCAGTTATTGTACGGAATTCCCTATTGATAGCAGGTGCTGATTTGAAACTATTGCGTAGCCATTAATGTAATGGGACGATCCTGTCTAGGTGTCGTTGATATGGGTCTACCACGCCCATGTCTCATTGCAACCCCACCCGTTTGACGGTACGTGTCTCACTTTGGCACAGTGGTGTTCCCCCCTCTATCATACCCACAATTCTCCATTTTGTCTGTTCATTGAGATACTGCCTCGGAGGCATTTTTCAGCGTGTGTTCACCTCAATTGCATTAGTGATTGTGAGTTCTCCAATAGGTCGACACAGTTTAGCTTCTGTGTACACGTGCATCACGTGTTGTTCATGGATCATGTGGAATGTTATTGTGATCCGACGTTGCGTTCATCTGCAACGCCACGGTATAGCTGCATTCTAATTCTTAGTTCCTATATTTTTTTATGGGTAGTATATTATGGTTATATTTCTTTGGTCCTTTAGCATGTGATTTCAGACAGGTTATTTTGCGTTAGCTCGAGGCTTTAAATGACACTTTTACCGGTGTAACAGGCCAGAGTATACCCCTGTCCCAGAAAATACACGGGGTTAAATTACATTTGTGACGTCATTCCATTGTCTGTTCGCTCCATTACTTTTCAGGAATGGAGCGATGTGTACCCGTTTTAAAATAAAACCTTCATTTTGTCACTTTGACATTTAATTTTGATAACAGAAATATTCCCAATACTTTGAATGTAATTTAAGTAGGGTAATATCCTCGTAACTCTCCATTCCTTAAAAATAATGTGCCTCGGCCCCTTCGGGGCCTCGGCTCCATTATTTTTAAGGAATGGAGAGTTACTCGGCCATTACCCTCTACTTAAACTGGGCTAGCCTAGTTTATACCCCGGGGTATATTCTGAACTAGGCCATAGTATACCCCCCTAGCCCAGATTATACCCCTACAGAAACCAAGTGATTAAGGATACTACTATAATTTTATTGTACTTCTCACACAATTAAACACTGGTTACAACATTGAAATGATTTCTTTGAGAGGCATTTTAGAAGTTGTGAAGATGTACCTACACCGAAACGTCGCACTCATTGCAATAAAGAAGTTGACTATCCATACAAATCAGTTTTCCTTCAACATTGAAATGGTCCGATACATTTTCCAGATACAAAGCATAATCAGTGTGAGTTTTCAAGCTGAAGCTGGCAGGGTACATCAGCCAGTGCATTGACTGACCAACTGCACTGTAAATATAAATGTCACATTTTAACAGACTGGCTGTTGACATAACTTCTGCATCTGTTGCCCACACTCCATCTCGTGAAATTCCCGAATTAGTGATATACTCATTGACATTTTGGTTCAGGAAATGTTTTAGTATGCAATCACAAGCTGCAGAACCGCAAAAATGAAAACAAAACTGCTTTATCTCTATACTAGAACTCACACGCTTTTGAAATCGGGACATTTTCTAGAATACAGATGCTAGAATACAGATGCTTGATGGGGCAGTTTTTCCAGGAATCCAGTGCCGAATTGTCCAAATAAGAACAGGTTGTGCAATGAACAAAACAAGACGTTTTCAATATTTCAATCAAATAAACTCAGCTACTAAAACAACTTTTTCTGTTTCTAATAAATAGAAAAAATGGTCTTAGTTGCCTAGTTTTCAACACCAAAACCATTGCTGTACCATTAAATGAAAACAACAAACCACCCCTACGACATATTACTGATTGACCCACCCGTGGCCTCGGACGTTGGGTGGCTGTCAACCCGCAACAGTTGTGTTAGCACTGCCAGTGTAGAGACGTTTATTATATCATCTGGGGAAATCTTATTAATATGTTTTTATTCAGCGTTGTTTATGGAAAATAAAGTTGATCTTAAATATATATTCATCATATTTTTGTAATACGATTAGAGTAGCAATCGTATGCAGTAAGGCTGATCTGTAGACGTGTAGACCAACGTGAACTTAGTAACATTTGAACTTTGCTATTGTTATGTTAATATTTGTACCTGTATTGTCATGGCTAGGAATTTCATTGACATCAGTTGAATCTAGTAGGTCACCGCACCTCAACTCATCTCAACTCACCTCACCTGGTGAGTGATTTATTTCTAAATAGTATAAAGTTTATGAATTTAGTGTGCAAATATGGGCGTTTTACATGATCTGGAACTATTTGAAGTTGCTTCGCAGAATGTTAATATGGAATGTTGTTGGAACTTTACCAAGGCGTATGAAACACACCAATGTACCACCAGTATCCCTCGCCATATCACCAACTCACCTCACTGGAGGCATTATTGACACACTGACCGGATCTCCGTCCGTGTTGGGAATGCAGGTCACTCTGTAGACAACGGAATTCTTCCCTCCCATGACAGTTTTATTGCCTGTTGCTAGGGTGGGCAAAGATCTGTTTTGTACCTCAATGAGAAATGCACCTTCCTTCTTGTCCTGCAATAGCACACACCGTCTGTGATTTACAGGAATCATTATTTGACACTTTTATTCATTTGACGCCATTTCAGCAGATGGAGTTTAATACAGTTGTGTAAGAATATATTCTGTAGCGGGGGATAACCTTGCATGGACGTTTTATATCAACACATTCTATTTACAGGTGATACTATAATGGCAGTCTGTCAAAAAGTGCCTGAGCAATTATATGGAAAACGAAACAGTCGCCGATTTGCTGAATTTCCTACGCCAATATGTCATGTGAGTGTTGGTGTGACATTCCGAGGAGACAGAAGGTAAACCTTTGGATGAACCTGTTTGGTCAGAAAAAGTCGGTTAATCATTTCACAGGAGTTTGACAAATGTGAAATCAAAACTATTATCTCTGAATTTTATTCTGCTAACAAAGGGAATAAAAAAGCAATCTTTTACTGTTTCTATTTTTATATTCATGTCAAAACAAGACTTAACGATACGCGCTTGGACAAAGGTATAAATCTTACAGAATATCGTAGTGATTCAAGTAGAAACGAAGTAACTCGGCCAAAGGTATACCGTCATGACAGTGTGGGTTCGAAAGACGCATCACAGTCATCTCATAAATAACCAGCACACACCACCTCACAGCAGGCAATGTAACGTGTCTGTCCTCGACAGGGAAACGTGGCAGCCCTGTTACCATCTCAGTGTTCGGTAAGACAACTGGCACCACCTCACAGCAGGCAATGTAACGTGTCTGTGTTCGACAATGAAGCGTGGTCGCCCTATTAGCATCTCAGTGTTCGGTAAGACAACTGGCACCACCTCACAGCAGGCAATGTAACGTGTCTGTCCTCGACAGTGAAGCGTGGTCGCCCTGTTACCATCTAAGTGTTCGGTTAGACAACTGGCACACCTCACAGCAGGCAATGTAACGTGTCTGTCCTCGACAATGAAGCGTGGTCGCCCTGTTCCCTTTCTCAGTGTTCGGTAAGACAACTGGCACAACCTCACAGCAGGCAATGTAACGTGTCTGTCCTCGACATTGAAGCGTGGTCGCCCTGTTACCATCTCAGTGTTCGGTAAGACAACTGGCACCACCTCACAGCAGGCAATGTAACGTGTCTGTCCTCGACAATGAAGCGTGGTCGCCCTGTTACCATCTCAGTGTTCAGTAAGGCAACTAGCATCATGTCACAGCAGGCAATGTAACGTGTCTGTTCTCGACAGTGAAGCGTGGTCGCCCTGTTACCATCTCAGTGTTCGGTAAGACAACTAGCATCATGTCACAGCAGGCAATGTAACGTGTCTGTCCTCGACAGTGAAGCGTGGTTGCCCTGTTACGATCTCAGTGTTCGGTAAGACAACTGGTACACACCTCACAACAGGCAGTGTAACGTGTCTGTCCTCGACGGTGAAGCGATGTCGCCCTGTTACCATCTCAGTGTTCAGTAAGACAACGGCCACCACCTCACAGCAGGCAATGTAACGTGTCTGTCCTCGACAATGAAGCGTGGTCGCCCTGTTACCATCTCAGTGTTCGGTATGACAACTGGCACCACCTCACAGCAGGCAATGTAACGTGTCTGTCCTCGACAATGAAGCGTGGTCGCCCTGTTACCATCTCAGTGTTCAGTAAGGCAACTAGCATCATGTCACAGCAGGCAATGTAACGTGTCTGTTCTCGACAGTGAAGCGTGGTCGCCCTGTTACCATCTCAGTGTTCGGTAAGACAACTAGCATCATGTCACAGCAGGCAATGTAACGTGTCTGTCCTCGACAGTGAAGCGTGGTTGCCCTGTTACGATCTCAGTGTTCGGTAAGACAACTGGTACACACCTCACAACAGGCAGTGTAACGTGTCTGTCCTCGACGGTGAAGCGATGTCGCCCTGTTACCATCTCAGTGTTCAGTAAGACAACGGGCACAACCTCACAGCAGGCAATGTAACGTGTCTGTCCTCGACAATGAAGCGTGGTCGCCCTGTTACCATCTCAGTGTTCGGTATGACAACTGGCACCACCCCACAGCAGGCAATGTAACGTGTCTGTCCTCGACAATGAAGCGTGGTCGCCCTGTTACCATCTCAATGTTCGGTAAGGCAACTAGCATCATGTCACAACAGGCAATGTAACGTGTCTGTCCTCGACATTGAAGCGTGGTCGCCCTGTTACCATCTCAGTGTTCGATAAGACAACTGGCACCACCTCACAGCAGGCAATGTAACGTGTCTGTCCTCGACAATGAAGCGTGGTCGCCCTGTTACCATCTCAGTGTTCGGTATGACAACTGGCACCACCTCACAGCAGGCAATGTAACGTGTCTGTCCTCGACAATGAAGCGTGGTCGCCCTGTTACCATCTCAATGTTCGGTAAGGCAACTAGCATCATGTCACAACAGGCAATGTAACGTGTCTGTCCTCGACATTGAAGCGTGGTCGCCCTGTTACCATCTCAGTGTTCGATAAGACAACTGGCACAACCTCACAGCAGGCAATGTAACGTGTCTGTCCTCGGCAATGAAGCGTGGTCGCCCCGTTACCATCTCAGTGTTCGGTAAGACAACTGGCACCACCTCAAAGCAGGCAATGTAACGTGTCTGTCCTCGACAGTGAAGCGTGGTCGCCCTGTTACCATCTCAGTGTTCGGTAAGACAACTAGCATCATGTCACAGCAGGCAATGTAACGTGTCTGTCCTCGACAATGAAGCGTGGTCGCCCTGTTACCATCTCAGTGTTCGGTAAGACAACTTGCACACACCTCACAGCAGGCAATGTAACGTGTCTGTCCTCGACAGTGAAGCGTGGTCGCCCTGTTACCATCTCAGTGTTCGGTTAGACAACTGGCACCACCTCACAGCAGGCAATGTAACGTGTCTGTCCTCGACAATGAAGCGTGGTCGCCCTGTTACCATCTCAGTGTTCAGTAAGACAACTGGCACCACTTCACAGCAGGCAATGTAACGTGTCTGTCCTCGACAATGAAGCGTGGTCGCCCTGTTACCATCTCAGTGTTCGGTAAGACAACTGGCACCACCTCACAGCAGGTAATGTAAAGTGTCTGTCCTCGACAGTGAAGCGTGGTCGCCCTGTTCCCTTTCTCAGTGTACGGTAAGACAACTGGCACCACCTCACAGCAGGCAATGTAACGTGTCTGTCCTCCGAGTTAATGTCACTTCAACTAAACTTGATCTGTCGTTATTTGCGATAAATGTAAGGTTTTCACTTGAGGACGTTAGTTTCTTATTCATTTTGGAAATGAACACAATGTTTAGAAATGGAAAAGATATGTCATCACCCACGCTCCCCTGCATTGACCTTTGTCGGTACCAAAAATGTGTACTTCATTTGTGATATATGTGTAAGCACAATAGATACCCCTAAGACTGGATCACTGTATCAAGTACTTTTACACCATTTGTTTACAAGGTACAACTGAATAGAAATCTTAATTACAGAAGAAGTAACGGCAGAAACAAAACGTTTCCCCTCAACATTCAAAACATTATCTATAAGGATATATTTCATGTTCCATATTCATATCATCTTCATCTCTATAGTTATTACAAGTACTGCTTTTGTTACTGCTGCCGTCCCTTAAATCCGTGAATAGTCTTACAAATTGAAGCCTTTGTACAGAGCACAGGTCTTGAATCAAGTGAAGTCGAGGGAAGTTGGTAAAAGAACTGCAAATTAGTCAATCGTTTGACAGAATGATGTACCTCCTGACGTAAATATGGGTGACTAGGTAATATGGGTGACTAGGTAATATGGGTGACTAGGTAATATGGTGACTAGGTAATATGGGCGACTAGGTAATATGGGTGACTAGGTAATATGGGTGACTAGGTAATATGGTGACTAGGTAATATGGGTGACTAGGTAATATGGGTGACTAGGTAATATGGTGACTAGGTAATATTGTGACTAGGTAATAGATCTCATGTTGTTAACCTGATGGTAATTCAAACTCAGATGGAGAAAAAAAAACATGCATAAGATTACTTTTCGATTCCTCGATCCGTGCCATTATAATAACTTGTTTACGTAGTCTGCACAATATTTAGAAATAGCAACATTACGTTTGTCACATATCTGTTAAGACTTCTGAAACCCATGTGACTGGAATCTGCTGACTTTGCTGTAACGTGTACACATACTACAAGACGATAGTGCAATGTAACTTACCATACATGAAGAGTTGAGGGTCACAGTATTGTTGTCAATAACGAAGTGTTGTTTATGATATGGACATGCTGACACACTGCCAGCGACAAATAGATCGTGTTTGTAGGAAGTGTCGTTATGTATGCTGACTGATTTGTTAGCGTAACAAACTGGAACAAAAAACAACATTTTCATTGACGTTTTCATTTCGATGAACTTGACGGGGCTATATGTTGAAACAGATTTCTCTAAGTAGTTTCGAGAAACAAAGTGAAAATAATCACGTGTTCGAATTAGCTCCAGTTCAAATATAACCATTTATTACAAAATCCATAGTTCTTTGGGTATTTAGAGGTTGGAATTTTACAAACACAAACATACGTACTGATCTTGAAGGGATGAGCCAAAGGCATGCTGGATGCTCGCAGATGCTGTCAAACATAACAAAATGTAACATTATTCTGTGAGATGAGTAGGGAATCTATACATTTTCCACGTCTACTCTACGACATAAACGTAATCAGTGTTACATCTACAACAGCGGCTCTGTGCAGAGCCCGTTCAATGCCTCAATAACTGAATAATTAAGAAAATAATCCAACTGAAGGTCATACAACCAAACGAAAGCGTATACCATGTTATAAGGTGTAAAGGAAATACATATCGGCATTGAGATGATGATATAAGGTGTAAAGGAAATACATATCGGGATTGAGATGGTGATATAAGGTGTAAAGGAAATACATATCGGGATTGAGATGGAATGATATAAGTGTAAAGGAAATACATATCGGGATTGAGATGATGATATAAGGTGCTCACAGTTGGAACAGGAGAAGTCTGAAACAAAAAAGTTTGCATTGTCAGTGTTTTTTGATTCTGTTGACACACTTGAGCAATTCTACATTATGAGTGATATTGTTTGATTACAAACAGTAAGGTTATGTAGAAACAGCACGACAAAACACTGTGTCCATCACCTCTCAGGGCTAGATGAAGCCTTATCATCTATAGTGAGTATGAGTGATTGCAACACAATGAATTCACAGTTTCTTTCATAACTGTAATGTATGTTTATTTTGGATTACCCATTGTGGGTACAATGCGTATTGTAGCATTGATTTACGAAACTAACTCTGATGCGTTGGCTACATTGCCATGTTGGCCAGAGAGATCTTCTGAATTATTGAGTGTTCCCTTGACATCTGCATCTGTAGGTTGACATTTACAAACATGGCATCTACAACAGCGGCTCTGTGCAGAGCCCGTTCAATGCCTCAATAACTGAATAATTAAGAAAATAATCCAACTGAAGGTCATACACCCAAACGAAAGCGTATACCATGTTATAAGGTGTAAAGGAAATACATATCGGGATTGAGATGGTGATATAAGGTGTAAAGGAAATACATATCGGGATTGAGATGGTGATATAAGGTGTAAAGGAAATACATATCGGGATTGAGATGATGATATAAGGTGTAAAGGGAAATACTATCACAGTTGAGAACAGGAGATGATATAAGGTCTGAAACAAAACAAAAAAGTTTGCATTGTCAGTGTTTTTTGATTCTGCTGACAGACTTGAGCAATTCTACATTATGAGTGATATTGTTTGATTACAAACAGTAAGGTTATGTAGAAACAGCACGACAAAACACTGTGTCCATCACCTCTCAGGGCTAGATGAAGCCTTATCATCTATAGTGAGTATGAGTGATTGCAACACAATGAATTCACAGTTTCTTTCATAACTGTAATGTATGTTTATTTTGGATTACCCATTGTGGGTACAATGCGTATTGTAGCATTGAATTACGAAACTAACTCTGATGCGTTGGCTACATTGCCATGTTGGCCAGAGAGATCTTCTGAATTATTGAGTGTTCCCTTGACATCTGCATCTGTAGGTTGACATTTACAAACATGGCATCTACAACAGCGGCTCTGTGCAGAGCCCGTTCAATGCCTCAATAACTGAATAATTAAGAAAATAATCCAACTGAAGGTCATACAACCAAACGAAAGCGTATACCATGTTATAAGGTGTAAAGGAAATACATATCGGGATTGAGATGGTGATATAACGTGTAAAGGAAATACATATCGGGATTGAGATGGTGATATAAGGTGTAAAGGAAATACATATCGGGATTGAGATGATGATATACGGTGTAAAGGAAATACATATCGGGATTGAGATGGTGATATAAGGTGTAAAGGAAATACATATCGGGATTGAGATGGTGATATAAGGTGTAAAGGAAATACATATCGGGATTGAGATGATGATATAAGGTGTAAAGGAAATACATATCGGGATTGAGATGATGATATAAGGTGCTCACAGTTGGAACAGGAGAAGTCTGAAACAAAAAAGTTTGCATTGTCAGTGTTTTTTGATTCTGCTGACAGACTTGAGCAATTCTACATTATGAGTGATATTGTTTGATTACAAACAGTAAGGTTATGTAGAAACAGCACGACAAAACACTGTGTCCATCACCTCTCAGGGCTAGATGAAGCCTTATCGTCTATAGTGATTATGAGTGATTGCAACACAATGAATTCACAGTTTCTTTCATAACTGTAATGTATGTTTATTTTGGATTACCCATTGTGGGTACAATGCGTATTGTAGCATTGAATTACGAAACTAACTCTGATGCGTTGGCTACATTGCCATGTTGGCCAGAGAGATCTTCTGAATTATTGAGTGTTCCCTTGACATCTGCATCTGTAGGTTGACATTTACAAACATGGCAAAGTAATGATGCAACGTCTATTATCTAGTTTATATGATTCTATGTCATCAAAGAAACATTGAAAGTATATCTGATCTCGTAATTGTGCAGCTTCAAACGTGTTTACAGCAGAGATTTAGCACTTAGAGCATACAAATCTCATATCAAATATACACTGATACATGGAGATTATTTCACAAGCACGGGTGTCATACAGATCATACGAAACGAGTGTCCGAATTCTTGCAGTTCGCGAGGAAGGAAAGCGTAATTCGTAATTTCTTACGACAATTATAAAATCAGTATGACACAAATGAAAGTGTAACATTATCTTTAGTACCCAGTATTTCAAAGGTGGCATTATTATTTAAAACTTTACGTCAACAATGTCCCCTGGATGGCCTAAACAATATAGTCGTGCGCGTGAAATGATAGTTGCACTAATACACATACTATCTAACAAGAAATAAATGATAGTTGCACTAATACACATACTGTCTAACAAGAAATAAATGACAGTTGCACTAATACACATACTGTCTAACAAGAATTGAATGATAGTTGCACTAATACACCTACTGTCTAACAAGAATTGAATGATAGTTGCACTAATACACATACTGTCTAACAAGAAATAATACAAACAAATTGAATGATAGTTGCACTAATACACATACTGTCTAACAAGAAATCAATGATAGTTGCACTAATACACATACTGTCTAACAAGAAATCAATGACAGTTGCACTAATACACATACTGTTACTGTCTAACAAGAAATCAATGATAGTTGCCCTAATACACCTACTGTCTAACAAGAAATCAATGATAGTTGCACTAATACACATACTGTCTAACAAGAAATCAATGATAGTTGCACTAATACACCTACTGTCTAACAAGAAATCAATGATTGTTGCCCTAATACACATACTGTCTAACAAGAATTGAATGATAGTTGCACTTATACACCTACTGTCTAACAAGAATTGAATGATAGTTGCACTAATACACATACTGTCTAACAAGAAATCAATGATAGTTGCACTAATACACATACTGTCTAACAAGAAATCAATGATAGTTGCACTAATACACATACTGTCTAACAAGAAATCAATGATAGTTGCACTAATACACCTACTGTCTAACAAGAAATGATAGTTGCCCTAATACACATACTGTCTAACAAGAAATCAATGATAGTTGCCCTAATACACCTACTGTCTAACAAGAAATCAATGATAGTTGCACTAATACACCTACTGTCTAACAAGAAATCAATGATAGTTGCACTAATACACCTACTGTCTAACAAGAAATACATGCAGATATGGCTTAGTCGGACATGAGTTCTCAGCTGGTCATGCATAAAACAGATCGGCTTCTTAAGAAGGTTAAAGACGTAATCGTTGCCTAAACAGTTCAAATCAAATCGTGGGTCAAGGGCCTTATTTCAATTGTCTAAAATTGTTTTAGCCAAGCTTCCAGTAAGCTCACATAGAACTGTTATCTATATGAGCAATACAATGACTGACGTGATTAGAAATCCTTCACTGAAACAACAGTTAAGAAATTCTAAAACTGAAAGCAAGGTTTGATTTAACATTGCAACGACCACTTGTACCTTAATATTCAAAATACGATATTCATACGATTATATATTAGCTGTATGTTGTTACAAACTAAAATATTGTAGTTGTATGTTGTCTCTTTGGATTCAGATCGCTGCACACAAAAGAAACACTGATATTAAATATTGAAAGCAAAAATTTCCGACACATTAGTTACATAATTAACCTCAAACTAAGAAACCCAGTGTTAAAATCTGCTTAAGGCATGGAACATAAATGTACAGTTATGTATGTAGACTTGATAATTTAAATGCTGAAAAAGAGTTAAGGGAATGAGGATGAAGTACAACAGAAATCTATGCTACAGCTATCACCATCTACATCTCTGTAAACGATGGTTTCAATACATGGATCATGATTGTATTTGAAAACCAAATCGACACTCACAGCAACAGTAGCCTGTATACTCTCCAGACACACAGCAACGAACAAGGCAAACAGGAGCAGCTTCATTCTGCAAGAGATAGAACAAGTTTCAGGGTGAAGATAAAGCTGAAACACGTGTCGTATGTTGTGATTATTGTCCGTATAGACATAGTCTAAGTATTAACAAATGTTAGTCAGTCTTGTGTTGCCCGTTAGCCATTGTGTGTGTCGTGTTGGTGGACTGCAACCATTTGCATTACCAAAAGAATATGAATGTCTGTCATCTTGCTGATTTAGGCGTGCATAACAAATGCTCACTAGTCCAGAAAAGATATGAGAATAATAGGGATTTGTAATAAATGTACAAATATCAGATACATGTACACAGGTTTTACTCCCATAATTCTCAGGTGCTCTTAAATGTGCACCTTAAAATCACACATACAGTTTTACAAGAAATTATTGAGAAAATCTTTGTTTCCTAATACTGACAGTATCATTTTAAACTAGGTCTTACATTATGCAGTAAGGTACTCAATATGGGAGGTAACTCTTGTAGCCTTTAGATTGAACCTTACTACATCAAGAGTTATCTCCCTTGTTACAGACGGCTTCCTTTGTTGACATGACAGATTTGACAGCAGAATAAAAAAAGAAAGCTGGTTCTAGATGATTTTGAAAGGATGTGAATAATGCAAAGGAGTTACCTGGTAGACATGACACTCCTCTGTCTACAGTATGCAGAACTTTCAAGAAAATTCAGTCAGGATTTGGGATTGAGAACAAGAGGGAGGCCACGGAAGTTCAGTACTACGGATCGCCGGCGACTAAGTCAGATTGTGGGTATGGAAACAAATTACATGATTGACAGAGGAAGTCCTCATGTATGTAATAAAACCATTAGACAAGAATTACAAAGACTTAACTGGGTGAAAAAGCGCGGAATTCCCTCACCATTGATGAAAGATGCACAAAAAGAAAGACGTTTAAACTGTGTAGACCCGCTCACGAAATCAAGATTGAGATAATGTTTTATTTTCTGATTAAAGTTCTGTCTGGCTTTTTCCGAACTGTGTGAAAATTTGGACAAAAGATACCGTGAAGCCTATCTATCAACGCAGGGAAACCATCACTTGGAGTGACGCCGATGTGTAATTTCACTGGATATTTGACGATGGATAGCATTCAGACGTTGGCCCAACGTTGGCAATGGTTTTGCCAACATTGCCAACGTTGGGCCAACGTCCGAATGCTATCTGGGGACATGTTGACATCTTAAATGGTCACCTCCTTAGAACTAACGGCCCGAACACTGTATGAAGATAATTGGATTTTTCACTACGGGCTACACAAAACTGGTTGTCGGACGGAAATGTTCAAGTGTTAGACTTGCCCAGCTACAGCCCAGATCTTAACCCTGTTGAGAATGTGTGTGGACTAATGAAGGACAGTTTATATACCAAAATGAACTTAGAAATATTGAGGATATGAAGAAAGAACTGGTTGAATATTGGGATACGCTGTCACACGATTTCCTATAAAACTTTGATCAGTAGTGTACATAGGCACGTTCAGTCGTGTATTGCAGGAAAATGAGGTCTCACAAAGTACTGAAAAGACTGTAAGAGAATCATATCTCAACACATTCATGTAAGTAAAACTTCGATAGTTTATATAGATGTAATAGATATTTGCCGAACAACTTTCTCAATAATTTCGGGGAATACTATATGTATCTACGGGCGAACACTCAGCCACAGCTGTACACTGAACTATTTCATCATACAGCAACACATTAGTCTGTTCATCATACAGCAACACATTAGTCGGTTTCATCATACAGCAACACATTAGTCGGTTTCATCATACAGCAACACATTAGTCTGTTCATCATACAGCAACACATTAGTCGGTTTCATCATACAGCAACACATTAGTCTGTTTCATCATACAGCAACACATTAGTCTGTTCATCATACAGCAACACATTAGTCGGTTTCACCATACAGCAACACATTAGTCTGTTTCATCATACAGCAACACATTAGTCTGTTTCACCATACAGCAACACATTAGTCTGTTCATCATACAGCAACACATTAGTCTGTTTCATCACACAGCAACACATTAGTCTGTTCATCATACAGCAACACATTAGTCGGTTTCACCATACAGCAACACATTAGTCTGTTTCACCATACAGCAACACATTAGTCTGTTCATCACACAGCAACACATTAGTCGGTTTCATCATACAGCAACACATTAGTCTGTTCATCATACAGCAACACATTAGTCTGTTCATCACACAGCAACACATTAGTCGGTTTCATCATACAGCAACACATTAGTCTGTTCATCATACAGCAACACATTAGTCTGTTCATCATACAGCAACACATTAGTCGGTTTCATCATACAGCAACACATTAGTCTGTTCATCATACAGCAACACATTAGTCTGTTTCATCATACAGCAACACATTAGTCTGTTCATCATACAGCAACACATTAGTCTGTTTCATCATACAGCAACACATTAGTCGGTTTCATCATACAGCAACACATTAGTCTGTTTCATCATACAGCAACACATTAGTCTGTTTCATCATACAGCAACACATTAGTCTGTTTCATCATACAGCAACACATTAGTCTGTTCATCATACAGCAACACATTAGTCTGTTCATCATACAGCAACACATTAGTCTGTTCATCATACAGCAACACATTAGTCTGTTCATCACACAGCAACACATTAGTCGGTTTCATCATACAGCAACACATTAGTCTGTTCATCATACAGCAACACATTAGTCTGTTTCATCATACAGCAACACATTAGTCGGTTTCATCATACAGCAACACATTAGTCTGTTTCATCATACAGCAACACATTAGTCTGTTCATCATACAGCAACACATTAGTCTGTTTCATCATACAGCAACACATTAGTCTGTTCATCATACAGCAACACATTAGTCTGTTTCATCATACAGCAACACATTAGTCTGTTTCATCATACAGCAACACATTAGTCTGTTCATCATACAGCAACACATTAGTCTGTTTCATCATACAGCAACACATTAGTCTGTTCATCATACAGCAACACATTAGTCTGTTTCATCATACAGCAACACATTAGTCTGTTCATCATACAGCAACACATTAGTCTGTTTCATCATACAGCAACACATTAGTCTGTTTCATCATACAGCAACACATTAGTCTGTTCATCATACAGCAACACATTAGTCTGTTTCATCATACAGCAACACATTAGTCTGTTTCATCATACAGCAACACATTAGTCTGTTCATCATACAGCAACACATTAGTCTGTTCATCATACAGCAACACATTAGTCTGTTTCATCATACAGCAACACATTAGTCTGTTTCATCATACAACAACACATTAGTCTGTTTCATCATACAGCAACACATTAGTCGGTTTCATCATACAGCAACACATTAGTCTGTTTCATCATACAGCAACACATTAGTCTGTTTCATCATACAGCAACACATTAGTCTGTTCATCATACAGCAACACATTAGTCTGTTCATCATACAGCAACACATTAGTCTGTTCATCATACAGCAACACATTAGTCGGTTTCATCATACAGCAACACATTAGTCTGTTTCATCATACAGCAACACATTAGTCTGTTTCATCATACAGCAACACATTAGTCTGGTTTCATCATACAGCAACACATTAGTCTGTTTCATCATACAGCAACACATTAGTCTGTTCATCATACAGCAACACATTAGTCTGTTCATCATACAGCAACACATTAGTCTGTTTCATCATACAGCAACACATTAGTCGGTTTCATCATACAGCAACACATTAGTCTGTTCATCATACAGCAACACATTAGTCTGTTCATCATACAGCAACACATTAGTCGGTTTCATCATACAGCAACACATTAGTCGGTTTCATCATACAGCAACACATTAGTCTGTTTCATCATACAGCAACACATTAGTCGGTTTCATCATACAGCAACACATTAGTCGGTTCACCATACAGCAACACATTAGTCTGTTCATCATACAGCAACACATTAGTCTGTTTCATCATACAGCAACACATTAGTCTGTTTCATCATACAGCAACACATTAGTCGGTTTCATCATACAGCAACACATTAGTCTGTTCATCATACAGCAACACATTAGTCTGTTCATCATACAGCAACACATTAGTCTGTTTCATCATACAGCAACACATTAGTCTGTTCATCATACAGCAACACATTAGTCTGTTCATCATACAGCAACACATTAGTCGGTTTCATCATACAGCAACACATTAGTCTGTTCATCATACAGCAACACATTAGTCTGTTTCATCATACAGCAACACATTAGTCTGTTCATCATACAGCAACACATTAGTCTGTTCATCATACAGCAACACATTAGTCACATTAGTTTTCACCATACAGCAACACATTAGTCTGTTCATCATACAGCAACACATTAGTCTGTTTCATCATACAGCAACACATTAGTCTGTTTCATCATACAGCAACACATTAGTCTGTTCATCATACAGCAACACATTAGTCTGTTCATCATACAGCAACACATTAGTCTGTTTCATCATACAGCAACACATTAGTCTGTTTCATCATACAGCAACACATTAGTCTGTTTCATCATACAGCAACACATTAGTCTGTTTCATCATACAGCAACACATTAGTCTGTTCATCACACAGCAACACATTAGTCTGTTCATCATACAGCAACACATTAGTCTGTTTCATCATACAGCAACACACATTAGTCTGTTCATCATACAGCAACACATTAGTCTGTTCATCATGCAGCAACACATTAGTCTGTTTCATCATACAGCAACACATTAGTCTGTTTCATCATACAGCAACACATTAGTCTGTTTCATCATACAGCAACACATTAGTCTGTTTCATCATACAGCAACACATTAGTCTGTTCATCATACAGCAACACATTAGTCTGTTCATCATACAGCAACACATTAGTCTGTTCATCATACAGCAACACATTAGTCTGTTTCATCATACAGCAACACATTA